AACCGGTTCTATCAGTAACATGTCGACATGTGCTAGCGTTTATAAACCTCCCACTAGCGGGCACACGAATAACATGACCATATCGAAGACAAAACAGGCAGAAGTTAACAGAAAATCATACTTCACCAATCACTTTCAAATCATCAGGACAATCAATTAAATTTCAAGTAGGCATGCTCAATTTAATGAAAAGCATAAAAATTTCACTTCAAAATCAGTCATATTTACTTTTGCATAAAACGGTTTAGTCCAACCACCACTTCAAAAACAAGTCAAAACATGCTTTTAAAAACTGTGCGAGCATTACCATAAATTTACTTACCTCAAATCCGTAATACCGGAAATTCAAGCCAAGTACTTGAGTGACAGAACACTCAAGAACCTAATCAAAATACCCCATAATTAATACCGTACTATCACAAATTCAAAGTGAAATCATCATTAGGACTACCCCTAATCACAATGCTATTTCTATCAATCTCCACATTACCAGACATCTCCAAATTTATTCTTATATTACAAACTAATCATTTAATCCCCGTTAAGTGTTGGCCATCAGTGCATGAAAAATACCCGTGAACAGTGCCATGAACAGTCCCCGTGAACAGTAACTGCAACTTCCAAAAATTGGCAATACCATAACTAATCTCACGGGATTTTCTCTCCAAAAATCACAGCAACTAATTAACTAATTTTCTACATGAATTAAGCAATAAAACACACTTAAAATGCTCTAATTGCTACCAGAATTCATCCCCATTTTCTGCAGATTTTCGGACACCACAAGGTAGCAAATTAAATGGATAATTTTAGGCTTAAAGGGCTGTCACATACCAAAATTTCCAGTTGCAGAACCGGACCTGGTAGGGGGGAAGAGGTCGGCGGCAAGCTGCAGGGGAACTCACGGGAACTACCCAAAATTCAAGAACCAAAACACAAATTAGAGTAACCCAAGTTAATTTAAGGCTAAAAGGAGGAGACTCATGGCTGTTCTTACCGAAAAAAGCCCAAAAATCACCCACCCACATAGCAGCCGGCGGTGAAGACAGAGCAGAGCAGAGCAGATCTGGAAATTTTCTTTGCAGGGGGAGAAGGTTTCAAGGCTCCAAATCTGGTTTTTGAACAAGAAAAGAAGGAGGAATTTCAAGCTTTTACCGGTTTTTCTTCAAGGGAGGGCTGTTAGCAGCTTGGGGGCTTTGTTCGGTGCAGCAAAGAAAAGAAGAGCAGAACACGCGGGCTGGAAGAAGAAAGAAGAAAAAAAATGCCAGCCGATCCTTATCCAAAATTTCACCCTTTTTAAGCCCCTTAAATTTAACACAAATTGACATTAAGTTCGCTAATAATATTTCCTCACAAGTTAGTCCCTAACTCACTTATTTATTCTAGAAATTTTTGGGGTATTACACTAAGTAACAAAAACTCACCAGCAAAGAATTTTGATTGCAATGACGCCTTTCACATTCTAGTTTATGTGGTGCTGTCATATACTCTAGAGCAAGGATTTTCTTACTAAGGAGGTAGGTGTATTGTGAATTCAGCCTCTTATAACCATCAAGAAACTTCATATATTATTCTACTCAACCATTAGTTTAGAGTCTTTTGACTCAATTTGTTTAATTAACCTTTTGTAAAAGCCTCCCTCTTCGGCTTCATCATCACTCCTTTTCTTTGCTTCAATTGAACCTTATTATTTTTCTCTTTTAAATCTTTAGCTTTGATGAGAAGTAGTTCCTTCTCCTTTTGTGCTTTGCTAATTGTTGCTTAGTCTCTAAAGTAGTATAATTTCAATTTTGAACCCTTATTTCTATCAAATTCTTTTCAAAATAAGCCTTATATGATGTACTTTAATCCATAGGATAATTCCTTTTTAACTCACAAGAGTTCAAGACATAACTATACTTTACTTACTTTATGTTGGTTAATAAATCCATAAAATTAAATTTTAACAAGTTAATTAGTAGGAAAATTAACCTTTAGTAAATATAAATAAGGTTAAATACCCTTTTGGGTCTCTCTACCATTGAAAAAAGCCTTCTTTTGATCCCTGTACTAAAACAATCCCCTTTTGGTCCTTAAAGTTTAAAATCTAACCCCTTTTTGGTCCCTCCGTTAAACTTTTACTAACTTGTCATGTTAATTAACGAAATCACTTAATTATTTTTTATATAAATAATATTATAAATGACATGAGAATTATGTAGATAAAATCATAAATCTATGTTAACATTTTATCTAAACATTTTGGGCCACGTGTACAAATTAAAAATGTTATTTCTTAATTTATGAATTAAATGAATTTAAACATAATTAACTTTAATTTCTTCATCTTCTTCTTTCCCCTCTTCCTCACCCTCATCTTCAACATCATCATCTCACCATTTGTCTTCACCATCCTCTTTGCCATCCTCTTCGCCATCCTCTCCATCATCTTCACCATCCTCTTCCTCAGGGTTCCACAAGGAACTTAGTTCTGGGTTCCTAGGTGGAAACCAGTTCTAGGTTCCTGAGTTCCTCAACGAACCTAGTTCTAGGTTCCTTATGGAACCCAGAACTTGGGTTACGTGAGGTTCCTTGAAGAACCCAATTTCTAGGTTCTCACAGAACCCAAGTTTTGGGTTCATTATGAAACTCAGATTGTGTTTGCTATTTGGGTTTGAAACTATAGGTGACAGATTTATGTTGCTGCATTTATGTTGGTAAGAACTTTATAACTTGGTTCACCTACGACCTAGATTCAACAGGAAGAAAGGGTTGAGAATTTGAAATTAGGGAAAGAGTAAAGAGAAAAATCTATTTTGTAGAGAAGTTAGGGTTTATAGTATTGATTGATCAATTTCACATGTAAAGGATTGATTATGAATGAAGAATTTCAAAAGAAGGAAGATGATTTCTAGACAAAGAATTGAGGAAAAAAACGGGGGAGAATTTAGGGGTTTTTTTTCGTGTGGGAAGAGTGACATGGAGCGGTGGTATTAAATCCATGTAAGCACCTTTACACGGTGTAATATCCATGTCAGATGTTCCCGTTAAGATAACGTGCCATGTGAGCAAAAATTAATGGAGGGACCAAAAAAGGGCCAAATTGTAAATTTTAAGGACCAAAAAGGGTATTTAACCTATAAATAAATCTTTATCCTTACTAATTGTTCCAACCTATAAATAAATCTTTATCCTTACTAATTGTTCCCACTATTTCAAGTTAATGCATACAACAATCACCTTTGGGCAGAATATTGCATGCACTAATGTGAAAGTAGTAATTTTATACCTTAACTTTAATATTTCATATGTGATCTCCCTAATAGATCAACTAGTTTTAATGACATAGTAATTTAATATAATCAATGGGTTTGAAACTTTATTAAACTTCAAAAGTTTTATTACAAGTGTATTAATAAGAATGGTCTTATAGAAAATAATCTTCTTTGGGCAGAAAATTCTCTATAAAACCAAAATAAGAACCCTACTAACCACTCACACTTCTTTCAGTCAATTTGCACAATCACTCCTTTTGGGCAAGTAATTATATACACTAATTTCAAGAAGCAAACATTCTAGAATCCTTATTGAGAAATATGTGAATTTTAATAGATGGCTCATTTTGGTAGTACCGCCCATATCAATTCATAGACTCCCATTGGAACATTTACGTAATATAACATTCCAGAATCTTTATTGAAAGATTAACCAATCTCTCATTAGAACAAAATTAAAAATATTGAATAACAGAAATCATTAGTCATAATAAATGAACTCTTGATATTCATATTAATCATAAAAATTTATTAGGACTATCATCTACATATGGTTCTATAATCTTTTTGAACCATATCTTTTATAATTTTTAATAATAGTAATTCTTTAATATATGAATTGAGAGAATTTTAAAACCTTTGGGAAAGCTTACAATACTTGTTGGCTCCTTTACTTTAATAGTCAAAGAAAATTATATGAAATCCCATCAATATTTAAAATAAACCAAAATACACAAATTATAAAATTCTTAGCATTTTATCAAACATCTTTTTTCTTTTGAGATTTTAAAATTTTTATGCATTGCCACAATTAGGCTATCAACAATATGCATAATAGACATTATTGTTCCTTGAAGGTAATTAATTACTAATTAAATCTGTTATATAACCAACAATTTAACCTCAAATTATATATTGTGAGTTATATCCAAACTTTAATCCCACAAAATCTCTTTAGAGGTTTAAAAATTGAGTAGTCAAATTATAGAATTCATATACTAGAACCCACATATGAAAAAAATAACTTTATCTTAAATATAATATCAATATAAGTAAAATCATACTTAGTTACCTTGCATGGTTGTACCATTGTAGTTTGGCTTAATACGACTTGATGAATCATTAAAACTGTAATTCTTTACAATCCTTAGTGCACCTTTAATATATATTCTCTAAAAATTTCCTTAACTTCCATAGAGTTAGTAAAAAATAACAATTATACTTTCTTCAAATGCATAATTAATTTGTATGATATTTTATTAGCATCTATAAATATGTTCTTTACATCTAAATATGGACACTTTATTTCCTTATTAGAGAATATAGTGTTAGGAAACCTATATGCTAAACCACATATGAAGATAAGTAACTTTTATGAGAACTAAAGTTTCACAATTATTTATTCATTTATCCATAACCATAAATTTCCTTACTAATAGTCAAACTTAAAACTTTGCAAACGAGTAACATAACCAATTTCAAGAAATTTAACTCAAAGATATTATAATATATAAATAATGAGTAAATAAAACTCACGTACCTTCAATTGTAGCTAATTGCTTTAACAAAATCCTAAATTTTAATCTCTAAAATGTGTTTCATATTATATATTATGTGCATGATAATATTCACAAAATGATTTCAAACCAAAACATGAAAACCATGTCATATCAATAATTTATGATACATATTTTATATGTTGTACTTAATATGTACTTTAATTTGGATGGAACAAATTAATGTACTATATAAATAATTATTTTAATTTATAAAAATCAAACCACCTAATAAGTATTTTTTATGCACATATAATCATTAAATGAGATTATATGAATAAACATAAAGTCTAATATGGATTGTGTATAAATAACAATACACAATTAACATTAAAAGGTTCAAAACTCCCAATACTCAATTGCTGCAAATTACCTCAGTATCAACACCCTCACATAATATCAAGCTTGCACAATAGCTTAAAACTGGTTATATGTTGACACCTTCACCAATTGTGGAAGAAACAAGTCCGTGTTGGACTTCTATACTATTATGCAATTTCTTGAATAGTAAAATTACAATACAAGTCCCTCAACTTCTATTTGCTTTTTTTTTTTTAATTTTTAAATTAGTTGAATTCTTTAACAGATTGAGATGCATAATCCTAATCAACTCTTTTGCTTTACTTCTGATTGGGAGTCCAAATCCCAAACCATTTTTTTAATTTCTTTTATTTAAATTGGTTAACTCAAATAAGATGTTAAATAACAAAAAAACATAATAACATAAACCCACAAATCTTAAAGGACTCAATTAAATCGACTTCCTTATCACATAATCATTCATGGAGATTATTTTAAACACTCTTGAGAAAATAAAGAGATTAAATACCAATTGTTCTTATATACTGAATTTTCCCTTTATATATAAACTTTACTTATTTTATATGGTTCAAATTCTCACTTTATGACCATCCAAAATTACTTGCCAGTAATGTCTTTAACTTTAGAGTAAGATATTAAAAACTTTAAAGACATAGTTACACTAAATAAAACCATTAAGGGACTATATTAGAAATTTTCCTTTAATCATCCATCATAATCAATCTGTTTTGATCCATAACCATAAGCTATGGTTATCAACAAGCCAATAAATAGTACTCTACAACATAATATCTTAGATAGCTTAAAAATCAACCTCCCATATCTATAATCTTACGAGGTCAAACTCTTAGATTTTATATAATTCATGTAATGAATTCAGAGACTAATTAGTAATTTCTTTATTTATCGCCTCAGTAACCAAACTCGTTTCTGGCTTTTCAATTATATATATGCTGTAGCTACTCCTAAAACCCTTACTTACTAACTCCCAAAATCAATTTTGATTAACATTGATTAAAAATACAGATTTAAGAGGAGAAAGATTGGATATATTCATAACTAAAATCTTTCCAAACTCTCATGAACCCATACCCTGACAACAATTTGAATGCACTCAAAGACTTCTAATAAATTCAGTTGCCCATTAAAATAAATTGTCTAAACTTGATTTAATCTGCTTATGCTAACAGTCAACCCAAGCAACAATTAAATAGATAAGAGTTTGAAACTTACAATCAATTTCTCCTCAACATTGTATTTGTCAAAAGATCTCAGTTTGTTTGATTAATTAAAAAACAATAAAATAGTATGAAACCTAATCTTGAATCCTAAACCTTTGTATGATTGCTCTGATATCATATGTTAGAATTTTAAGGATCGGCATATGTAGGATTTAGAGTACCAAGATTTAATAAAATGAATTAATTGCTTACCTAAATCTCCACAATCAATATATTACCTAAGAATCTTCAAAGATCTTCAAGAATATCATAATTTGGGATCTCATGACAAAACCTATAAAACAAATATAGTTAATATTGAGATTTATGTCTTCCTCTCCCTATTTAACTTCTATATAGTGACAACCAATGGGTTATACCACTCTCTAACTTTACTATTTATACAGGTAGGGTTTTATGAATAGGAAAAGGAATCTAAACCATTGTAATAATTTTTTGGACATCCAATCAAGTAACTCACCTTTAATTTCAGATCCTATACTTATTCATATCACACCATGTAATATTTGAATTAATTTTTAGAATCAAATACAATTACCGATATCCCACGTAAAAATTTCCAACATTGAGTGCTTTGCCATTGTGGTGTGGCAGGCACGAAGCGATGATGGTAATTGCTATTGGGTCAACAGTAGAGCAATCGTTTGCAAATATATATTGCTAACATATGTGTATACACACACCCGCAGTTGAAGCTGCGTTGGTATGGGTGTGCGTACACCAGGGCAAAGTAATCGAAATTATAGATTAACGAAAATGCCTAAGTATAGACCTAGCAATTTTTAACCCAACCCGCTAACCTGCCCATTACCCACTAATTTAAAACAAGTTAAGGTCAGATATTTATGACCCGTGACCCATTAATGACTCGTTAAAAGAACCCGACGGGTCACGGGTCAATAATGGGTTGACCCATCGAGTTAATGGGCTTAACCCGTTTACCCATTTAAAAATTTTAAAAATGTTAATTTATTTATTTTTTTCCAATTCCCAATTCCACCTAAACCTCTAATAATTGACTAATTTTCCCTAATTAGCTAATTGATTCTCTTGGCAAAAATAGGTGTGTGGTGTGATGAAAGTATGAAAATGTATATCTAAAGTGTGCTTAACCATGGATATTTGTGGAATTATGGGTTTAAGAGTTATATTTTTCTACAAATAATTTCATAATTGTTCACTCTATTCATGTTGTGCAAAATTTTGGTGATTAAAGGTTTAATGACTAAATGGAGAGAATTAGAAGAAAAAGGACTTAAATGCAAAGAGCTGAAAAGATGAGGATCTAAGGATAAATCAGAAGTTTAAAGGCTCAAGTGAGATTTTCTCCATTCTTGATCAAGGAGCAAATTGCAAACTTCAAAAATATGATAATCAACTTGCATGGAATCCAAGAGTCAGGGACCAAGACTGTTATTCTGCCATTAAGCAAAATTGCACAAAAGGCCAAAAACCCGACATGGAGGATGCAGATGACGCTCCTCTCAAAGTGCCGGCACCTTTTGAAGAGTGTCGACCTCTTGCGCAGTAATTCAGCCCAGCCCGACATCCATTCTAATTAGGGTTTCTAGGATTCTATAAATACCCATCCAAGTTATTTTAGAGGGGATTCCAGGGGCTGGAGAGGCTGCTACCAGACTTCTATTTTCTTCTTCAAAACTAGAGAATTATGTCAAAGCGCAATTAAACTTTCAACAAGATTAGGGAGGATCTTGATTGATGAGTTTGATTTGTTATTTTATTTTGATTCCTTTATAGATTTTATTGTTTAATTTTATTTTTAAGAGATTGTTAATTATTTTTAGATCTGAAAACCCTGAAAATTATATTTATCAAATTTCATATAAAATTAGTCATGCTCTTTTTATGTGTGATTTGTTAGAATATAATTGATTGGTAGATTTGTTTTGCGCGTTAATCCTTTACTGCAATATTGTCGATTAGATATATTGTCGCTCTCGGATAGTTCGTAAGGATAGATCAGTTTGTTCTTCATTGAAATCAATTTTTCTCAAAATAAATACATTAGTCATTACTATTGGTTTTCAAAATTGAATCTTCCGATTGTTTGTTTGGGATGTGAAACATGCAATTGAGTAATAAATAGGAATCAAAATTTATAACAGTTAAACAAATCAATTAAGTGAACCTTGAAGTCTTGTTTATCATAATATTGTTTTTAATCTTTTACAATTATCATCTTTTATTTAAATGTTTTTATTCTTAATTTTAGAATTCATCTTTTAATTTAATTTCTCATGTTGACAACTCTTTTTGTTGATTTAATATAGCTTCCTTGTGGATTCGACACCTAAAGCTACGCTACAACAACCGCTTAGCCAAAGGGTATTAATTTTGAGGCGAGACATCATGGTGTTAGCATTGTTCTTTGAAGGGAAGTGGAGAAGGTGATTATGAGGAACTATAAATATGTTTTATTAAATTAATGGGGGGAAAATATTTTTATAAGATTTTGAATTTCATTTTTAAATCTTTTGAATAATTTTTTTATGATAATAGGTACAAATTATAGAGAAAAAAAAGAAAAAAAAATTCAATTGGGTCAACCTGTGATCCGTGATGGGCAAGTTAGCGTTAATCTTCATTAACGAGTGACCCATTTTAACCCAACCTATTTTAACCCAACCCCAACCCGCTCGTTTGCCAGGTCTACCTACGTACGTTTCAGTGTTTATCATTTCAAACACCCCATAGACTTCATATTTATACAAAGGCCGGGTCAACTCTTATAAACAGCAATAACTCTCATTTTTCAAAATGTTTAGGTTAAACCCCTATTTTGGTCCCTGAACTATTGTACAGACCTCCGATTTGGTCCCTAAACTAAAGAAATCCCTAATTTGGTCCTTGAACTATTGTACGGACCCTTGAGTTGGTCCCTAAACTATTGTACGAACCCTTGAGTTAGTCCCTAAACTATTATACAGATCCTTAATTTGGTCCCTACTGTTTACCAATTTAACCCCAACTTGGTCCTTCTGTTAAATAATAACTCAAGGACCAAATTGGGGTGAAACTGTAAACAGTAAGGACCAAATTGGGGGTCCGTACAATAGTTTAGGGACCAACTCAGGGATTTTTTTAGTTCAAGGACCAAATTGGGCGTCGGTACAATAATTCAGGGACCGAAATGGGGATTTAACCAAATGTTTATTAACAAAAAAAATAATAAATAAAAACCTGAAAATAGTACAATCTATGTGGAAGCCAATTCTTTGTACCTAACTGGGCAATCACGACCATATGCCCAAACTCAAAACCATTGATAAGGCATTTAAACGGTATAGAAATGTTTAGATTGTGCACCTTGAGTTGAATACCGGTATCTCAGTAACTAGTATAACTTATACAAACCACTTTGTTTGGGGTATTAAGTAAAACTCTATTTTTAAAATTCGTAAGAATACATTTTTAAAATTATTTGCACTCAAATAATGATAAAAAAAAAAAAAAAAACCAACTTTCCAAGTCATAATTTACACCTTGCCTTTCAAAAAAACATTAAAAAAAAGGGTCATGATTTGCATATGTCCCTTTTGCTATTAGGTTATGCTTTTGTCCACAAATGCAAGATGTTGATCCCTGCCTATATTGGCTTTGTTTTTTAAGTTTTTCTAACATGTGCTTTAAAAATACAAGTTAAGAGATTTAAGGTTAGTTTGACAATACTACCTACAATACTTTTTATAGAACTTTTTATAATTTATACGTTTGGTAATTTATCCATCTCTACTTTTTTAAAAAGGAATACAAAAGTCAAAAGTCATCTTTTTCAAAATGAAGAGAATTCTTAAATAATTTAATAAAATTTTCAAATCTTTTTTCATACATTATATATTAAATTATTAATTAATTTAATTTTAAATAATAATATGTCTAATTAAGTAATTTTATAATAGGTAGTTTTTTTCTAAAATAATTACCAAAAACTAAAATACCTTTTGTAACAGTACAACACAATACTTCTAACAATTACAATTACTAAATAGCACTACACACTATTGTCAAATTAAACCTTAAAAGAATAAAACATAATATCTAATTTATCAACTGTCTAATTAAATATAACTAAATCACAATGAAACTAAAATAAATATTTATTTTTATATTTTTTATATAAATTTACAATTAAAAAATATTTTTAACTTATATTTTAAAATATGTATTAAAAAAAATTTATTTATCATAGTCATACTGGTTCTTTGTAACACAACAAATTGTTAGGGTAGTGGCCCAGGGCCCTAGCCTGACGAACATGGGCTAGACCCAAAGCAGGGCACAAACCCTAGATCCCTCAATTAGGCCATGGCTTTGAAAGTTGACTACTGGACCAATGAGGAGCACACACGTGTTAACAGCACTAAGGTGGAGAGTATAAATAACCCGCTTAATAACTCCTTCCAAGTTTCTCTTTCTATATTTTCTTTTAGGGTTCGCTAAAACATATATATT